CAAAAGAATTACTGGGGAGAACCGTTTTCAAAATGCACGTTGCAACCCACTGGTGGTTTGAAAATCAATTTAGTGGGTGTCAAAGCAACACTTTGTTTTAACGAAGTAGAACATGCGTGTGCCTCCTGTACAAAGAGTAGGTACTGCTTTATGAGGATTCTGTTTCAGACAGACAGTATCCACCTAGGTGAGTACGGTGGGTCACGTTCAAAAAAAATTAGAACAGCATAAAAAAATACAGATCCCCAGCATCCGACTGCCGGGGAGAGTTCAGGGATGTGCATTCCTACTTATGCCGGCCCACGTGATGGACGCTGCTTTGCAGATAAAGGCAACGAGACGAGGGTGGGGAGATGTGCTCGGGGGGCAGAAGCCCCAGCTTTGAAGCTAAACCGCCTGGCCCTGCTTCCTCCCGGCTCTGGGACAGTGGGCAAGACACGGAACCCTTCTGCACCTTAGTTTCCTCATAGCATTGCCCGGCGCGAGGACCCGGGATGCGTGTACAGGGCCTGGCGTTAAGCAGGTGCACACAGCAGGTGTCCCCTGTCGCCCATACAGACCAGCAGAACTTCATGGTGACCCTGGACCAGGTGTTGCTCCGCTGCCTTGCACACCAACAGCACTGGAGCCGCCTGGACGAGGAGCAGGCCGGCCCGGAGCCTGGTGAGCCCACATCCTTGCTGCTGGCTCCCCACCCGCCCGAGCCCCGTAGCACCAGCTCCCTCGTCTTCAGCTGCATCTCCCACGCCTTGCTGTGGATCAGTCAAGGCCGGGACCCTGTCTTTCAGCCACCCAGTCCCCCGCAGGGCCTCTTCGCCCACCCTGTGGCAGGCAGCGGGGCCGGCGTGCTCCGTGAGGCTGCTGCCATCCACGTGCTGGTCACCGGCAGCCTGCACCTGGTGGGCGGCGTCCTGAAGCTGCTGGAGCCGGCCCTGTCCCAGTAGCCCAGGCAGTGGGGGTGGAAGTGGGGGCCTCCCACACCTGCCCTGCATCTCTCCACGAACTGCTACGTTAGGTGCCTTTTGTTTTTCTGATGGTCTAGACTGGCCCAGGGACCCAGGCTTTAGGCAGCAAGATAGAGGGCTGGAGGTGGGAGGCTGAGATGGGCCATCCTCTGTCTCTGAGCCTAGGGTGCCTCTGGCCTCTTCTTCCTCCTGGCTGAGAGAGCCAGAGGGCTTCCTGGTTGTCCCGCCGTCGTGGTTAGGCCTAGACCACGAAGCCCACCTCCCCTCCCACCCTGCCTGCTTCCTGGCTCAGGCTTAGCTTCTTAGGCCAGGCCTAGGGTCCTGCTGGGTGCTGGTTGATAGATTTCCTCCTCCTAGTGGCCTTCTGGGAAAGAGACGGCTCCCGCCTGGGGCCCCCTAGGGACAGAGGATGGCTGGAGACAATTAAAGCCTTTAACTTTTTTAAAAAAAGAAATGGCAAACGTTTGCCTCTTGATTTCTAGTTCCCTCAGCACATAAATAGGGGCCTACAGGGGGTACCGGAACTGGATTGTGTAGGAGCCCACGCTGGGCTGTCTGAAATGAGAACACTGGACTGATGTCCGTCGGCCGCAGACCTCCCCACAGAGCCCTTGTTACAGATGAGGGAGCCGTGGCTGGCTGAAAGCCATGGGATGCGCCCCTTAGTCCCACAGCCAGTCACGTGGCAGGTGCAGGATTTGAACCCAGAGCTGTGCCCTCCCCACCCGTTGTAGGTTTCCCACCCCTTCGCCCAGCCCAGCACTCATTTCGTGGTCTAATTTATTGATGGTGAGTATACAGGGGGTGGGTCCAGGCCAGACAGTTGGGCCACTCCCCATCTAATGCCTGCCTGCCTTGGGGGTCTCCGTGTGACAGTTGCAGGGAGGAGCTAGGCTCCCCCGTTCCCAGGCTGGGCACCCCTAGGCTTCTCGTTTCCTTGCCAGAGTAGTGCCAGTCCAGGTGTGGAGGCCGCTGGGAGCAGGTCCGGGTGGCTCTGAGCTGGCCTAGGTGAGTCTGTTTCTCCCCTCCCACCCAGCCCAGGTCGCCAAGTGCTGGATCCGGGTTAAAAATTACAGGGACTTGGTTTCTACAACAGTGTGGACTTATAGGGCAGTGGTCTGTCTCTCCGTGGTCCTGGGCGGCCGTACTCCAGGCCCACTGGGTTTGAAGGTTCGGTGGGGTGGGGGGACCCCAAGGTGTTCCAAGCTGGTGCCCCCTCTGGCAGCAGGCCTCTGGGAGGGAGGCAGGAGGGGTGGGTGCAGAGGGCATGGTCCATCCTTGGTCGAGTGCAGCGGTTGGGGTCCCGGGATAAGTTCACGGCCAGTGGTTCCCAGCTGGTGGCTGCTCAGTCTCTCTTGCTGGGCTGGCTCGGGGGCCCCCAGGTCTCCAGGCGGGGCACTACGCCATGCTGCTGGTGGAGCAGGGGGTGCTCTGGGTGCTCCCGATGCTGTGGTTGGTGCTACTGCTTTCTGAGGAGGCCGGGGCGGCCACTGCCACCACGGGCTCCCGCTTGCCGGGGGGACCTGGGGGCAGGGGCGGAGGTCAGGGCCCCGGCTGGGGCTCCCCGCTCCCCCAGAGGCTTCCCCGGGCTCCCCCAGGTGATGGTGGTAGAGGGGTCCTGAGCACTCATGGCGGGGGCCTGGGATACTCACGCGTGTGCGAGTAGATGTACCAGAGTGCAGCGGTGAGCAGGGCCCCGATAAGGAAGGCGCCAAAGGTGATGCCCAGCACGGCGGGCAGGACGAGGCCTTTGTCTATGCGCGCAAGGGAAGGGTGGCCGCAATCAGCACTGTGGCCTCCTCCCTGGCCCCCTACCCTGTTGTGCGGCCAGGAGCACAGATTTGGGGAGGTGGGGAGGTCAGCCCCAGCTCTGCCACTGACTCTGACTTCTCTGAACCTCAGTCTCCTCATCTAGCAAATGGATTCATCATACTCATGCCTGGCACTAAGCCATGGTTGTTCTGACCGTTCACCCAGAGGGCCCAGCCAGGCCTTTGGTCCATGCCTCTGCCTTCCAGGGCTGATGGAGATGCGTTTTTAGGGAGAACAGATGGTATAATCTGAGCCAAGAGTGAGTGAGGCCTGGGAGTGCAGAGCCTGCCCCACCCTACTGTGGGACCTTGGGTCAATCCCTGCGCCTCTCTGAGCCCCGTACTACGGTCGTGATGGGCCAGGGCACTCTGTTCTTGGGTTTTCCCAAGCCTCGTTCCATCGACACTCTGGCCTCCTGTGTGACTATGGGCCTCCTCTTGGACCTTTAAGCTCCCACCTATGCAGTGGGGTAATTAGGCCTGCTCTCTTGGTATGGGCTGGGGTTGGGGGCTCCATCCTGGCCCAGGTGGGGT